TATTATGCCCCTTTTTACAATATGTAATATAAGTCTCTGGTGTCCCCAGAATGTGTCTGTGAAGTTTCAGCTCAAAATACTCCACAGATCATTTATTATATCATTTTGAAAATGCCTATTTTGAGTGGAAACAGAAACAGGCTGTTTTTCGGGCCTCTCTCTTTAAATGCAAATAAGCTGCTGCTCCCCGCCCCCTTTTCCAGAATAGAGCTGAGCCATTAAAACATCTGTTCTGGTTCTGATTATCATGTTTATCGCGCTGAAATCATGCGTTTAAACCATATTAGTTTAAACTTCTGATATGCAGTTTTCTGAGTGCACACATCCAAAGCACACGGACAGAAAGCGGCTGTCACAACATGCGAGTACTAAACTAAGTTCTCGTTCACACACAAGTTTACATCAAAAACAAACATCGGTTATGTCTCTGAAGGTAAACAGCTGGGAAATGAATTGCTGGTTTATTTTAGATCTGTGTGGCAGCAGCAATACAGTATATAGTAAATAAATCATTAAATCCACTGCTCTCTTGTCTCCGCTGAGGCTGGGACTCTAAATAGTGTTCTGTGCAGCCAAAGGCAGAACAGTTAGCATGTTTTGCTCAAACTTTCGCCATGGCATTACACCGTTCTCTTGCAAAATCAAAATGATGGCGCCATGGGTGGAAACTTACAGATTAAGGGGCAGTAATATTATAATGAGATCCCTTTGCCAAGTCACCAAGGGAGCGAAATCAGACCGCTAATTTTTTCAGACTCTTGCAGAAAAAGGCTTACCAAAACAAAGTTACTGGGTTAATCTTTTTCACGTTTTCTTGGTTGGTAGATGCCTCCGGGACCTGATTATAGCACTTAAAACCTGGAAAAGTCAGATTTTCATGATATGTCACCTTTAAAGTTATTTTGGCAAGATATGTATTATGCCCCTTTTTACAATATGTAATATAAGTCTCTGGTGTCCCCAGAATGTGTCTGTGAAGTTTCAGCTCAAAATACTCCACAGATCATTTATTATATCATTTTGAAAATGCCTATTTTGAGTGGAAACAGAAACAGGCTGTTTTTCGGGCCTCTCTCTTTAAATGCAAATAAGCTGCTGCTCCCCGCCCCCTTTTCCAGAATAGAGCTGAGCCATTAAAACATCTGTTCTGGTTCTGATTATCATGTTTATCGCGCTGAAATCATGCGTTTAAACCATATTAGTTTAAACTTCTGATATGCAGTTTTCTGAGTGCACACATCCAAAGCACACGGACAGAAAGCGGCTGTCACAACATGCGAGTACTAAACTAAGTTCTCGTTCACACACAAGTTTACATCAAAAACAAACATCGGTTATGTCTCTGAAGGTAAACAGCTGGGAAATGAATTGCTGGTTTATTTTAGATCTGTGTGGCAGCAGCAATACAGTATATAGTAAATAAATCATTAAATCCACTGCTCTCTTGTCTCCGCTGAGGCTGGGACTCTAAATAGTGTTCTGTGCAGCCAAAGGCAGAACAGTTAGCATGTTTTGCTCAAACTTTCGCCATGGCATTACACCGTTCTCTTGCAAAATCAAAATGATGGCGCCATGGGTGGAAACTTACAGATTAAGGGGCAGTAATATTATAATGAGATCCCTTTGCCAAGTCACCAAGGGAGCGAAATCAGACCGCTAATTTTTTCAGACTCTTGCAGAAAAAGGCTTACCAAAACAAAGTTACTGGGTTAATCTTTTTCACGTTTTCTTGGTTGGTAGATGCCTCCGGGACCTGATTATAGCACTTAAAACCTGGAAAAGTCAGATTTTCATGATATGTCACCTTTAAAGTTATTTTGGCAAGATATGCTGTTACAAATGCAAGCACTCACGCCATTTTCAGATCCACTGCCTGTAGCGATGTCCGATTTGTGGACGATCGACGATGGTTCATCTTTAGGAACGATTCGTTCATTGCGTCTGTCACGTGACTAATAAATGAAAGACTCGGGACGTAATTACTTATGTTCCTCATAAATTATGTTTTGCTGCTTTATAATGATATCCTAATTTGGAAAATGATCAAGATTGCGTAGGTGAACTTGTTGGCGGAATTTGGCACTTGAAAATCAAATGAACGAAATTACTTGAAACATTAGAATGAGAAATAGAAAGAATATGAAAAGGAACTTTTAAATCCGAATAGTAGAACTATTACAGGTAAACGCACTAGAAAGATGTATCGTCTGATGTGAATGCACTGCATAATTAAGTTTTAATTGACTTATTTTTGAGTCCTGTCAGCAAATAACAGACTGAGACCACTGATCTATAATAGAGAGCATATATAGATCAGTGACTGAGACACAAATTACAGGAAAAACCTTTATTAATAACACAGCCTTACGGCTTAATTTGTATTTAGAACTGGTTCTTTGAAAATAACGAGTTTAAAGACTCGATTCCCGGAAATGAGTCTGGAGTTCTACTAATCGCAAATGTGTCCAGCAGTGTTGCCAACTAATTTTCAGGGAAAGTTGCTAAAGGAAGGTTGATTTGTAGCTAAAAGTTGCATCATCTCAACAAAAAATTTTAATTTAGATTTGTACGTAAAGTAATATAAATGCATAATATAATATTAAAATGTAAATAACTATTTTTAAATACATTGAGTTTTTGAAAAATTACATTTTGAACTATTATAATTATTTTTTTTATTAGCTAATAAAACTACACATTCTGAATTATATTTTTAAGCAGTGTATTAGTAGTTAGTTAGTATGCTCCACTCTAAGAAAAAGTGTAAAATGGGGCACTTGTTACGGGGCGAACAATTATTTAATTACTATTATTAAATTAAACAAATTGCAATCCATCCGCAAAGCTTTTATTTATAGGCGTGGTCATAAAACAGGCAAGGTTCTGACAATGGCAAACAGGTATATTGAGGGCAAGACAAAAGAGTAATCCAAAACGGGTGTGAGTCAGTCGACAGCGAACATTACCCAGAGGGCTTGACAAGAGGGGAAATCCAATAAACACGAGTAATAGTCCAGGCCAGGTGCAAACACAGTCCGAAACAGAAAGGCAAAGGGTTAATCCAAGATAAACAGGCAAGAATCAGGTAACACGGGAAAGCAGACAAGACTATGACTATGACTAGGAACTAAGGACTAGAAACTAGGACAGAAAACTGGCTCCGTAATGTGCTACCACTAGGAGAGCGATAGGATCTGAGTGAGTGTAATATAGTGTGTGTGATTGGTTACAGCTGTGCGCAATCAGTGGATCAGTGTAATGGATGATGGGAAATGTAGTCTGTGGTGACGTGTAACAGTCTGTGTAGTGAGAGAGTCAATATGATGGACGAGTGACCTCTGGTGGCGATCGGACAGAAGTCCATGGACAGGATTCGTAACAGCACTGTCTACTATGCTAATATGAAGGAATTTTCTGTATTGCTTTTTTTCACAGGTTTTTTACCTGCATTTTTAATTACGCATTGTATTTTGTGTTTTTGGATTACAGGGTTACAACAGATAATAGATAACGGATGATGTCCTGGAAAATCACCAGTACCTTTTCAATTTTTATAGATATTTTTCTTACACTGTACTAACTGATCAACAATCGCAACAAGCTACTAACAAAATGTATCATAAATGAAAATTATTTAATTACTATTATTAAATTAAACAATTGCAAATAGCGGCTAACTTAATACACGTGATGTGTGTACTGCTAGGCATCTTTGGTTTTCTATTTTTGTGTAATTTAAATGCTAAATGTGTAAAAAACATTATCATTTCAGTCACTTATCAAAAGTTGCCAAATACATTTTAAAAATAGCTAAATTTGTTGCTAGGTGCTTTTGGAAGAAAAAGTTGCTAAACTTAGCAACACTGGTGTCCAGTGATTGAGCCCTCGTCAGGTTGAAATGGCGCCACCGTGTGGTGAACTAAAGACCACCGCTGTCTATCAGCACGAGCTCAGGGGCAGAACGTTCAACTCTGACGTCAGAGTTCGAGGCAAATCTAATGCATTCAGTGTTAAAAATAAATGTACTCCATATTAATCACCTAATGAAAACATTTCTAAATAGTCTTTATTTGGTTGTTACGTAGAATGAGACCAGGACATATCAAGATGAGTTAAAACCTTCATCTCATTCCACCAGGAAGCACCAGCGCTTGGGACTTTATTTAGCCTACTGACAAAGCTGCGATTATATATATATATATATATATATATATATATATACACACAAATAAAATAACACACACACACAACTTCCAACCTTTTTGAGAGTTTTTATTTTCTCACAAACCAAGGTCTGTTTACAAAAAAAGAACAAAAATAAAATTTGTACCTAGGTATTGCATATCATGCTGGCAGTCATAACTACATGCAAAACAACAACATGACCAACAATTATATGAAGAAGAAAAAAAACCAAGAGGGTACTCAAAAGAAAGAAGTTACAACTGGTATTACAAATGTTAATATAAAAGGGTTTTTATTTAATTAAGGTGTTTTTTTTACAAGTAGGTAACAGTGGAGCAGTTCAGTTACAAGGGGCAAAGGAAGTCTCTTTAAAACTGGTCCAGAAAGACACGCAAGGAAAGCACGTCAATTACACATTCACACACATTCACACCAAGAGGACCATTCTGCATATACAAAACCCAACAATAAGAAGCCCTTTAACAAATACAATGTTATCAAATTTCAAAACTATACAAGATACTACAACTGAACTAATACAATTACTATAGAATTACAGAGTTAAACTACAGAGATACAGAATGTGTAGATTATGGCTTTTTATCAAGTTTAGAACTCTACACATCATGAGATGGCATAATCTGTCAAAATGGATGAGGGCTTTAAAAAAAAAAAAGTAGATTCCCCCCCCACACGAAAGAAGTGCACTCCAGCTCAGGTTTCACAAGCCTCACCTTAATGTCTCTATCACTGAACAGATCTGAAAGCATAATCTCTACCCATATCCACATTAAACTATGAAACAAGGACATATTCTACCTATACTGCAAGGAAGACAGTGGGTTCATACTTTTTAGCCATATTGCAAAAGACAGAGTTGAAATTAATATGGCAGAAATCAAATCTCTGCCATTACACATTGATCATTCCAGCACTGTAGTAAAGAGACCCAAACTCTGTAATCAAAACAGGAATACATGTATTTTGGACGGTAAATTATGAAGCTTAAATCTGAAGTTTATTATTTGATTGCTAAATTAAACCAGTTGGAGAACTTGATCAAACTATGGCATGAGATGAAGGGAAGTGGAAGGACTGGGTGTTGGTGTGTGGCGGCTTCTCTCCTTCATTGTAGGTGGTGGTTGGTGACAACATGGTACGGACAGCCTCAGTCCGCACTGACCTGCGTGGTGACCTGCCCGTCGGCCGTCTGGTTGGTGGACTGAATGAACATAGGCTGGGTCAGCTCCTGCCCTGCAGGCATCGTCACCTGCTGGATCTGATACAGCTGCTATAGTCACAGGAAGAAAGGGAGGGATGCGTGTTAGTGAAGTGATAAATAACATTTGAGATCTGGATTGAAACTGTAGCTGTGGTAAATAAGGCTAACAGAAAGAGAATGTAGGAGAATGTAATTACAGTATTGTATAGCGCATTACATATAGAATAGTATTATAAAATTAGAATATTCTATATTGTATTTTAATATAACTTAATACGTATTTTCATATTTTCATGCTGCATGCAAAAGTTTGGGGTCAGTATGTTTCGTGGAGAGAAATTCATACTTTTATCCAACAAGGACGCATTAAATTGATCAAAAGTGACAGTAAAGAATGATCTCTGTTTCAAATAAATGTGTTCTTCTGAACATCCTATTCATCAAAGAATCCTGAAGAAAATGTATCACAGTTTTCACAAAAACATTAAGCAGCACAACTGTTTTCATCATCGATGATAATAATAATAAATGTTTCTTGAGGAGCCAATTCAGCATAATAGAATGATTTCTCAAGGATCATGTGACAGGAGTAATGACTGCTGAAAAGTCAGCTTTTCCATCACAGGAATAAATTACATATATTTATATATTCATATAGAAAACAAGATGTTGTGGAAAATAGGTTATTTTAATTATATTAACAGTTAATTTTGATACAATTTCACAATATTACCGTTTTACTGTTTATTTGACCAAATAAATGCAGCTGTGAACATAAGATATTTATTTCCAAAACATTTTAAGCCTTACTTACCCCAAACTTTTAAACAATAGTGTGTGTTTGTAAAAAAAGCCTTAAAGAAATAAAATACAAAAAAAGGGGGGGGGGGAATCATTACCTGCCCATCAGCAAACTGGCTGAA